TTTAAAAATGGTTCCCAGGCTATTGTTGGACTATGTTTGAATACTCCCCCTGTAGAGGGACATGCCAGACTTAAAGCAGGTCTGCAAGGGTTCCCTGGGGACCGCCAGGAGCCTCTGGAGGCGCCTGGAAGCACCTCTGGGCACACAGTACGCACGCGCGACGCAGCGGCCAGGTGGCAGCACCACGCCGAGCAGTTACTAAGGCGGACCACCTGACGTTGCAGATGGGGGGTCTGGATGGAAGCGGACGCGTGCAGAAAAGCGCGAGAACCACGATGCGCGTGGAAAACGCCGAAAGGGCCATGCAGGGTGCCGAAAAGAACGAAACGTACTCTCTCTCTCTTTCTCTCTCTCTCTCTCTCTCTCTCTCTCTCTCTCTCTCTCTCTCACGCACAAACACACACACACACAAAAAAAACACACAACCAAACAAACAAACAAACAAACAAGCAAGCAAACAAACCAACACCTATATATATATACACAAACACACACACACACACACACACACACACACACACACACACACGCCACACACGCACACCCACACACACACACACACACAAACACACACACACACACACACACACGCGCGCGCGCGCGCGCACGCACGCACGCACGCACGCACGCACGCACGCAAGCACACACTTCTGCTTCGCTGGCGATGTGCGATATGACACCACAAACGCGCTAGAACAAGCACGGGACGCGAACATGATGCACTTTGTCTTGAGGATGGGAATGCCGAGCTGCGTCGAGGACGGCGTGCGCAATGGCGCACCCCAAACGAAGTGTGAGCAAACAGTGTAGAGAACGCGCGATCCACTGAAGAAGAACGCGTCCATGCAACTCCACCGCCCGTTAAGCACACGCAAGCGAGGCAGCGGCGATTGCGCCAGCATCGGTGGAAAGGAGGTAATGAGAGGAGGACAAGCAGACATCGAGCACCAAAACGGTACCGTACTGCGCCGCAGGCGACAAGTGCCGAGCCAACAAGGACAAGATGCTTGCCCAGGCGAGCATTCAAGCCTTTCCTTCGCGCTCTCATCAAACCAGGCGCTGCCGCAGAAGCAATCCCTGCAGCCACAGAACATGACAAGATGTCGCTGGCGCAAAGACGATTGAACGGCGCGTGAAAGCAGGCACGTGCAGTCTGACGCGAACGCAAAGTTGACCTTGAGCCAAGAAAGGCCATAACGACGAGGAGGTCGACGCACCCTTTGGCCTGGGCAAGAACCCTGCGGGCGCCCGACGACGACGACGACGACGACGACGACGACGACGACGACAACGACGACGACGACAACGGCGGGGGCGGCAGCGGGCGGCGGCGGCGACGACTTCGAGGGCCGTCCCCCCTGGCCTGGGCATGGGCCCGGCGGAGCCCCGCCCCGCTCGGCGGGGCCGCCCCCCCGAGGGGCGCCCGCGGGCGCGGCCCAAGCCTCCTCCCTGAAGGCCTGCCCCGGCTCCGCGGGGCTGCTCCCTTGAAGGGCGCCCGCGGGGGCGTCCCTCGCGCCCAGCTCGGCGCTGCCCTGCTCCGCGGGGCCGCCCCCTTCGGGGGCGCCCGCAAGGGCGTCGCTCGCGCCCGGCTCCGCGCTGCCCGGCTCCGCGGGGCCGCCCCCTTCAGAGGCGCCCGCGGGGGCCCTGGCCGCCTCCCAGAGGGCCCCGCCCGGCTCGGCGGGGCCGCCCCCCCAGGGGGCGACGGTGGCGCCGTGCGGCGGCCCGGCCGGCGGCGGCGAGGCCAAGCGCCGGGCGTCGACACGGGTGATCCCGGCCCTGCCCTGTGTGCTGAGGCGGCCTGGCTGGGCTGGGGCCTGGCCCGGCCCGGCCCCGTGTCCTGCGTACTGCGTGCCCTGTGCGCTGGGGCTGTGTGCTGTGCGCTGGCCCGGCCCTGTGTGCTGGGGCGGCTATCTTCGCGCGTCGCGCCCCGCGAGGCGCGAAGCGCGAGTAGCCTCGCGCTTTCGCGCCGCCCCCCCCCGAGACAGGATGTGGGACTCGCGCCTCGCTCTGAAATCGCCCAGACCGCGCAAAGCGCGAAGCGCTACTGATTTCGCACCATCGTGGTGGCCTGGCCCTAGGTGTGGGGAAGGCGCCAACCTTGTTCACAGGTGTTAAGACGAAGCCAGGCCAAAGACGAAATCGGACCAGGACAATCGGATCTCAGAGGTCCCGCAGTTCTGGAGGCTGTGTCAGGCGCAGTGGCCTTCTCAGAGCCGTTCCCGAACGCTCTGTATCCCTGTCCCAGCGCCCCACTACCCAGACCCCCGATGTCGTGATTTTTGTCACAACCTCGACCCCCAGAGGTTAGGACCTTCCCTGGGACCAGTTTTTCGTCCCGAGTCGTTTTTTGACGCTCCCGAGGCCCAGGAAGGCCCCCCAGAGGCCGAAAAGAGCGAAAAGCTTCCCGTCGTGATTGTTTCCACCACGTGAAGGTGGTCTGGGAATGGGCATGATACCGACGGCAATCTTTTCGCCATGTTCGGCCTCCGGGGGGCCTCACCCGGCCTCGAGACCGTCAAAAAACGACTCAGGATGAGAAACCGGTCCCGGGGAAGGGATCCAGACCTCTGGGGGTCGCGGTAATGGAAAATCCATGACGTCGGGAGTCTGGGAACAGAGGGCAGAACATCCACGCCCATCATAAGCACCCCGACAAGCGAAGCCGTTTCGAAGACGCCCCCGGGGCATTCCGGGGAGGGAATCGAACATGGCAAGGCTGTCTAATAAACGCCCAGGGCCGCTCAAGAAACGCCGATTGCCGGGATTGCCGGGTCCGGTTTTATCTTTCCTTCCAGGGGAAGGGGTCCAGACCTCCGGGGGTTGTCGTAATGGAAAATCCATGACGTCGGGAGTCTGGGACAGTAGGTTCGCGTCGTGTCGGCTGGCGGCGACCCCGCCGCCAGCATTCAACGTTGAATGCAGCCGGCGACCCTGAACCGATCGATATTGAAGGTTCTATCGTTTCGGTTCTGACGACTCAGGATGAGAAACCGGTCCCGGGGAAGGGGTCCAGACCTCTGGGGGTCGACGTAATGAAAAATCCATGACGTCGGGAGTCTGGGTGGAGAGGTTCTAATGTAACGCCTCCCCCCCGCCGTGCGCACGGCGGCGGTGCCCGGAGCGCACGGGGGGGGGAGGGGCGTTAAGTTGTAGGGGGAGGGGGGAGAGGGGGCCGGGGGCTAGAATGCCCATGATGCCCCAAGTATATCAAGAAACGTACTCGTAGGAGGGCAGAACCCCTGTCGGCCCAGGCCGCGAAGCGGGAGGCGCGAGCACCCACAGGTGGATCCGCAGGCGCATCCGCAGGCGCATCCGCAGGCGGATCCACCCCACCCAGGACATGCGACGTCCTGATCTTTTCAGCACGCGGTCCCCGGAAGTCCCGGCCCTTTACCCCCGGACCGGCTCCTCATCCTGAGTCGTTCTCTCACGGTCCCGGGATCCGTCGAGGGCCTCGAAAGACAAAAAACAAAACAAACAAAACAAAAAAAAAAGAGAGAAACTTCCCGTCGTTCTTTTTGCACGACGCGATCGGGTCTGGGGAGGGGTCCGACCCTGCACGATGCGACCCCCCTCCCCGGGGACCAATGCGTCGTCCCGAGCCGCTCCTGGCGGCCCGGGGGCCCGACAGGGCCCCGCCACGGAGGCCAGAAACGGCAACAAAAACACGCCCGTCGGGTTTTTCACGACGCGCAGGAGACTGGGAGCCCTGTGGTCCTTTTTTTGTTAACAGCCGCAGGCGGAAGCGCTGGCGGCGGGCGGTCGCGGTCAGCCCTGTGGTCCGACGTAGCGACAAAAATTGCAACGTCGTAAGAAAAATCACGCCCGGAACCCGCAACCCCATCTTTCTGCTTAATTGTTCAGACTGGATCGATATGTGAGGGCCCCGGTGCCCGAAAAAAGGCGAAAACGTCCGGCTCGAGAAAATGGCGGCGCCAGGATCTCAGGGAAGGTGGATGCACCCCAAGCGGATCCGCAGGTGGAACCCCCACCACCACATGCAGCGCATTTTTTGCACTCGCGGCCACAGCGGGCGTCATGGGGGGGGGGGGAGGGCGGGGGTAA